TTCTCTATTCCCATGTTTGCTGCAACGTTTTCTACCTTATTCATTAATCTTCCAAATTATCCCCTTCAGCCTTCCTTTATTTCTATAACATTCGTCATCTATACATATAATAAAATTGTAACTAAGCCGAATCTATACATTAGATATTTTTTGGAAAATCTTATTGAAATAAACATTACTATCGATACAGAGGCCGAATCTATAGTTTTTAGAATTTTTGTCTGTCTGTCTGTCTGTCTGTCTGTCTGTTACCGCATCACAGAAAAACCACTGGAGGGATTTTGATGAAATTTGGTATGGTGAAAGCTGGTTATTCGGTAATATATGATACTTTTTAACGGGGGAAAATATCTCATTTCTGGGAAAAAAAATACAAAAACTGTAATGTAAGAGTATACTAATACATAAAATCTAAGAATTTGGTTTTTGGTCATCTGAACGCGGGCGGAGCCGCGGGCAATGCTAGTCTTTTATATATTTTTCGTGTAAAATATTACATACAGTATTTTCTCTTACTTTTGATACAATTATTTACTTTAGGTTGTGAGTGCCAGAAGACACATACATAGACATGTAATCTATCTTGTACCTCGGACATACTACTTATTGGTATTGGTTCATATTTCATTTCACTTGGTTCATATTTTTTCTTCTGTCCTATATTTTTAGATATTTCAATACTATTACTATATCCATAACTTTCTTTCAAGATTTTCAATTTTTAAATGCCATTTAATCTTCTATCTATACTTATAACAAAATTCTAACTAAGGCGAATCTGTACATTACATATTTTATGGAAAATCTTATTGAAATAGTCATTAATAACGATACAGAGGCCGAATCTATAGTTTTTTAAATTTTTGTCTGTCTGTCTGTCTGTTACCGCACCCCAGAAAAGCCACTTGGGATTTTGATGAAATTTGGTATGGTGATATCCGGATCGACATATAGGATACTTTTTACCACGGGAAAATATTTCTTTTTTGAGAAAAAATACAAAAACTGCAATGTAAGAGTATACTAATATGTAAAACCTAAGAATTTGGTTTTTGGTTGGTGATCCGAACGCGGGCGGAGCCGTGGGCAATGCTAGTCTTCTATATAAATAAAAATGAATTTTGGCTCTACCAATTCAGCTAATATTATTTTTCGTATGTTCCTTAAGGTACACGGAAAGTTTTAATAAAGAGAAAAAATATAAACTAAGGTGAATATTATATATATACAAAACAAAGTCGCGCTAGTTACACCATTTATAACTCAAGAACGGCTGGACCAATTTTTATGATATTTATTTTTTGGATTTCTTTTAGTCCGGAATAGGATGATAACAATTAAAAACAATTAAAAAAATATTTTTTTATATAGCTAACGCTGGCTAATAACTAATTATATCTATTTAAAATGTACTAGTTTTAAATAAAGGCTTTCTAGCATAAGCTTAAGTCTTTTTTGACCCAAATTACTTCTCTTCAGCAAAAAGTATTCAAACTGAATATTATGATTGCTAATGAAATTATTGTTGAAGTTGAAATAAGTAAACTTGAAAGGTAAAACGAAGTTCAAAGTTGTCATCATTATCAATATATGAACTGATACAGAATTTCTTTGATCATACGTATCAATAAAAATGAACAAACATTCTTGAAAAATTCATCACGTTATTTATTTTCCTTTGATGTATCATCTACATACTCGTCCAACTCTCATACCTACCAAATTTGGTAAATATAAACCGAAAGGAAGCAGAAATTTTGCGAGTCGTTGAATCGTGAAATGGACTTCTTTCTCTCTAAATATTTACATTATAAAACCATCAAGACTATTATATACATATATGTAAAATTACCTATGTCATAACGCATAATTAGCAGAATCCATAAGTTGTATTTGGGTTGTAAATAAAACGTCACGTAAAAGCGACTGCTTTAAAAATCTTACTATAAATTTAAAAACTATAAAAATAACCCAAACTTGAAAGTTTTTCTAGTAGCAATTAAAAAGTTTCAATTTCTGGTGTGCTTTAATTTGTATCAGCTGGCACCGACTTCGAAAATATCTGACTAGATATCTATTGTAAATGAAAACTACCAATCAGTTGTTTTTTACTTTTTAGTGCTTTTTTTGAAGTCAATTTTTATTTTGTTTTTAAAAGTTTTTATTTTTCCATTTTTAGTGTAGATATAGGTAGTAGTAGCAAAATAAAATGAAAGTATTGTAAAAATTCAGTAGGTGAAAAATCAATCGTCCCCTATTTTCTACACTTAGAGGTGGATTTTTATTTTCAAATTTAAATGGGACTATTTCGGAATAAACCTCTTTAAAACGAAAAAAAAAATTTGCAAATCGGTCAACGTATGACGGAGATGTGCTCAAACATACATAAAAAAACAATATAAACATCCGAAATAAGGACCTCCTCCTTTTTTGAGCTCAATTAAAGAAGAACTTTGAGAAATTACTTTCAAATCATATTAAAAAATATAGGTTAAATAATTAAAAACATTCGTTTTTCACTAAAACGAGCAAAACGGTGCAATTTACTGACAATATTTTTACGATATCCATATCCATACTAATATTATAAATGTAAAAGTGTGTTTGTTCGTTTGTCCTTCTTTCACGTCGAAACGGAGTGACGGATTGGCATGATTTTTTGTGTGAAGATAGTTGGAGGGCTGGAGAGTGACATAGGCTACTTTATACCGCGGGAGATTATCTCATCCAAAAAGTATTTATGATCAAAATTATTTCAAACTTAGTATTAATGCTCTTCAATACAATTAAATAAATACGTGTAGCATTTTATATATGTAGCATCCCTTACGGGATGAATTTCGAAAACTACTAGAGAGGGAGGGGAGGGACAGAGGAGAAAATATCGCATTTCGGATAAAAAATACAAAAACTGCAATGTAAGAGTATACAAATAATGTAAAACCTTGATTTGGTTATCGGTCATCTTAACGCGGGCGGAGCCGCGGGCGATGTTAGTACATTATAAACGGGATTTTCATGTACAATAGGCAGTAGGTACCTAATCAGATATTTTTGGAGTCAAATCAAACAAAAATAATCCATTTAGATATGAATATAAGGCTTTATTTACAGTTAATACATTATACATCAATTTATCCTGTATCTCCTAACAATAATAATATATTTAGTACCATAGATACTATAAAATTTAATTAATTTGTATAATAAGTACATATTATAAATCTTTCATTTAGTTAGTTAGTGTTCATCTTATTTATATTTGTGACAAAATAATAATAATAATTTAGTGATGAAAGGTAAAAAAATATTATTTCAATTTTATGTTAAATATGTTCCATCATAAAGAATATTTTTCCTAAAACTTACATCTTGCAAGTCTTGAGATGTAATTTCCCTGGAGAAATAAACAATGACTATAAAAACATGTACGTGATAAGACTAGACTAGGGTTATTGAGATTTAAGATACATTTTAATAAAAGGGTCGAGAAAGGTGCAGCAAAATTATACTTATAGTAAAGAATCTTTTCAGTCAATTCATCTGCTACGACCTGGCCACCTTCAAGAAGAAAGCGTATTCCTTCCTTAAAAGCCGGCAATGCAACTGCAAGCCCTGCGGTGTTGCAGATGTCCATGGGTGGCGGTGATCACTTTCCATCAGGTGAGCCTCCTGCCCGTTTGCCCCCTTAGTCCCATAAAAAAAATCTTATGTGTACGAGTAATGGTCATTCTACAAATATACTCGTAAATGAGGCAAATATGTATAAAGTTAGGATAGATATTATCTTTAAAAAACAATTATAAAAATCGATCGTCATTTGACGTAGACCACTTGCATAGTGAAAGAAATCATCGTAAGGAAACCAGTATGTCTGATAGAATCTAATAAGTTTTCGAAAGATATGTTAAGTTTGCCAACCCACACTTGGCCAGCGTGGTGGACTGGAATGGCCTGATCCCCCTTGTATTAAAGGTAGGTCCGTACCCAGCAATGGGACTTTAAAAAGGACTAAATACATAATAAAGGGCATTGCAAATACTAATTATTACTTAACATAATTATATAAATAAGAAAACTTATAGAAGCAAACACATTACATGTAACTAAAGACATGCCTCCCTTCAATACCCAGTAGTAGGACGTTATAAGGGTCAGAACATATACATACATACATACATACATACATACATACATACATACATACATACATACATACATACATACATACATACATACATATATACATACAATGCGTAAAATGTATTCGTATATCGTGCATTCGGCACGTGAAAAACCGTTCCAATTCAAAACGTGATTTAAAAGAAGACCTATGAAAGACCTATGAATTAGAGTTTCGCTATGTTAAAAGCGAATAAAATCACATAAGAAGTACGTAATTTTTAAAATTCTTGTTTCAGGATTTTCGGAATTCTGAGATTCGGATATGGATTAGAATTATAAAAAATATCTGCTAGCATTCATACCGCGGAATTAAAATATTCTGAAGAGACTGTGAGGAAAAACCACTTCAACACTAACACAACTATAAGATTTTTTTATATCGATGTCGACATTTTTATATTATCAGATAAATGGCATCATTTACAAATGATCGATAAGCTATAAACAATATTTCTATATTTGTACATAATTATCACTATACTACATCTATACTAATATTATAAAGAGACAGAGTTTGTTTGTTGGATTGAACGCGCTAATCTCAGGAACTACTAATCCGATTTGAAAAATTGTTTCTGCATTAGATAGCCCGTTTATTGAGGAAGGATGGAAGGAATCTATATATTCCATACTAACCGTTAAAATGTACCTATTGACGAACCCGAGTAAAAAAGGGGTGAGTTGCTAGTTGAAATATAAATTCAAAGTGTAAAAAAAATAGAAGCACTAATTAAAAAAACATATTTAATAAATATTCTATGATTCACTGTACAATCATTCTGAAACACTTATCACAATAACTTTTAAATTTATTATACACGACATTTACTACCAGTCCAAGAGAGTGTTTCTGGCTCCTTTACTTTTAATAACCACACGTACTTATAAAAGACTGTTGCCGATGCTGAGCCCAAAAAAGGCCCTGCGTAATAAACCCAATGTGCATTCCAAGTATTGGTCCATATCGCTGGACCTAAAGATCTTGCCGGATTCATACTAGCTCCAGTTAATGGTCCTCCAGCCACGCAAAGGGCAGCTACTATCAGACCAAATTTTATAGAACTACTTTCATTATTATTTACATTCACAGGATCCCAGACAGCACAATTCGCAAGCACTAATCCAGTTGTCAAAAGTATTTCCACACCTAGTGCTTGATATTCTGTAAATCGTGCATGCGGTTGAGTGATACAGACTGCTGTCGATATATTTGCTGGAGATAGTCCGACTAATACACCATATCCTATAATCGCACCAAAAAATTGAACAATTATATAACCAATACCAAGAACTACAGATATTTTTCCCCATATAATAGCACTTAAAGTCACTGCAGGATTCATGTGAGCTCCAGATATGTGTCCGAAAATCTGAATATTCAAGATAACTATTAATCCAAATCCCAAAGGACCGTATAGAGGTGGGTTCATAGGCAAATTATCTATAGGTACGCAGGTCATACACCCAAAGAAAAGTAGCGATATAGTTGCCAAAAATTCAGCAAGTATTGCTCTCCAACTATCGGAACACCATGATATGATTTTATTTTTTGGCTGTCTACTTCGAGTAATTTCTTTGACTACCAGATCTTCAGTCACTATTTCATGACCCGCATCCATTTCTTGTGTTTAAGTTTTGAAAACGGACAAATATTTCACTGCACTTTAGATCTACGAGTATAAGATACGCTAATTTAAGGTTATTAAAGAACATCTGACAATCTGACAATGACGTATTAAGTGTATTATAACCGTAATAAAATCAAACTAAAACGATGATTTTGATATGGTGCTATTATCAAATTATCATATAAAATAATCTATTGATATTAGGTCATACGGGCGCTATCAGCAATCAAGTTCGTTAATAGTATAACAAGCCCTTTTATTAAAATCTGTGTGTCTATAAATTTACACCTACTAATTGACTTGAATTAGAATTAAATTCCATTCTAGACCAATTTTCAGGTCGATGTCAATGGTTAAAAGATATTGAAATATTTTTTTTAATTTCAGTTTTTCGAGAAAACGTACTATACTAACCTGATAGATTCACTAATAGAGATCAAATTTCTGAAAGTATTGACAGCAAGATTTTTATTAGTAATTAAAAGAAGTAAGGAAAGCGAAGGAATAATAGGACAAAATAAATAATTATAATCTACACTACTAATAAAGAGGATAGTTTTGTATTTTTGTATGTTTGTAACGAATAAACTCAAAAAGTACAGGACCGATTTAGATGAAATTAAGTATGGAGATAGTTTGAAACATTATGACATAGGATATTTTTTATTCCGCAAATCATTACTATCAGATGTGAAAATGGGGATGAAAGTTTGTATGGGTAATCAACCCAGGAACGAACCCGAGCGAAGCGAGGGTGAGTCGCTAGTATAAGATAAAACCAAGAAAAAAACCCTTTCGAGTCTTATCGCATTTTTGGTGTTGTAAATTCATGAAAAATATAGTAATGTTATCTTAAAATTACGTGTTGAAATTTATAATATCTAATCAGTGTCGTAAAAATCAGTAAGCTTACACTTGAAACTGATTCAAAATCGATTCTGTTTTTGATTCGAATTCACTCTTGATTCGAACTCGATCTGGCTGTCTCATTGCTGAACCAAACTAATATTAGTCTTTTGGGATATAAACTCTGTATAACATATTTCGCTTTATTCTTTTAAAAAGTTTGTCTAGTGATTTAATAACAACTTCAAAAATTTGGTTTTACTAATCCTGTGTTCTAATTAATTTCATGATTAAACCACAGAGAATAAAGGCTATTTAATTAATTCATAATCTAAATGCCAAAGACAACGTGATCTTAGTCCTTTGGTTTTATTAAATTATTGTTATGGCAAAATGAGAAAGCAATTTTTATTCATTGTATCATAAGAATATTAGAGAAACAGTATTTAAAAAAAATATTAATGTGTAAATAATTCCAGTAAAAATATATGTGAATTTTATGTATGACGACGCCTTTATATGTTCTAGAAGTAATACATTAAATTTTTGTATCCTTAAAAAAATCACATAGAACAGTAAACTGAACGAAGCTCGGTTTCTTCTTTGAAAATTACTAACATTTTCAAATTCCTAACAGAACTCAATCACAGCTGAATTATTTCACAACGAAATCAGCTATCTGCGATAGAGGGCGATAAAGATATTATATACTTATAAGTGCAAAAAAAAAACACGATGGCAGAACCGATGGCATGGAGTGCACACAACTCATGAGCACGGGGTTATCGAGTCATCTAAATCGGAATTCAGACCTAGAAATGGCCTTAGGATCTTAGATCGTAACAAGATATTAGACAAATTATAACCTTTTCGATTTTAAATCAATAATTAAACCATAAAATGCTCGGTATAGAATTCTAGTTTAATGTTTGTATCCACATCAATTTTCATTTAGGCAAAGCTAGAGCTTATAAGGTCTTTATTATTATGTAAGTAGAATACTATAATACATTCTAAATCATCTAGATTCTAAAGTAAAGTCAGAATCTGGTGAAATATAATTAAATAGTAACATAAATCAATAAATTTTTATAAAGGATTACAGATTTTAATTAGAATATAAGAACGATGGCGCCATAAATTATTGAGGGCGTAATGAAGTAAATTAATTACTCTCAAAAGTTCAGGTTCAAATTAGTGATTTAAATTCGATAAAACATTTGTATTTAACATTTACTTTGCCAAACTATACGATTACGTTATATAAGTAACTAGCATTGCCAGCGGCTCCTCCCGCGTTCAGATGACCAAAAACCAAATTCTTAGGTTTTACATGTTAGTATACTCTTACATTGCAGTTTTTGTATATTTTCTCAGAAATGAAATATTTTCCCGCGATAAAAAGTATTCTATTATGTTGACCCGGATAACCAGCTATCACAAAAACAAAATTTCATCAAAATTCCTCCAGTGGTTTTTCCGTGATGCGGTAACAGATAGACAGACAGACAGACAAAAATTCTAAAAACTATAGATTCGGCCTCTGTGTCGATAATAATGTTTATTTCCATAACATTTTCCAAAAAATATTTAATGTACAGATTCGGCTTTTAAACCCTGAAAAGCTAACGTAACTCTTAGATTTACATAGAAATAAAAGTTTAAACTAATATTTGCCGTATTTAATTGAAATCAAACTTATCTAATAATAGCTTAAATCGTAATTTGTTTCAAATCTTTTAAAAAATTGTGTTTAATTTGTGACTTTCGCCCATTACTCATTGTAGATGTAATCTGTTTATTTAATACTAGTTACTTACATTCGCTTCGCTTAGGTGCGTCCCTAGGAGTATTTTGCGACATGATACAAAATCATCTTCTTTTCTTTATTTACATAAATTAATAATAAGTTGCGCCAAAAAAAATTTTTATTAATTAAAATTGAAAAAGTTTAGCGCCACTTATTGTGCTGATTATATTTACTACTATAGACAGTATGTGTATTTATGCATGAACAAATTCTCTAATTCGTCCATGTATTTATGCTACCTCGAGTATATCATATCACATATCTCTTTTTCTACCAAATTTCTTCTATATTCTACTTTTTCCATTTAAACTAACTGTTACAACTTACTGACTGACAGATAATGTCCTTCAACACACATGATATGACAGACATGTCATTAGCGACTCACCCTCGCTTCGCTCGGGTTCGTCCCTAGGTACGTTTTAATTTTTTTGAGCGGAACCCTAATTCTTTTTCTAAAATAAAAGTAGCCTAATATGTTACTCCCTATAACATCAGCTATCTTCTAGTGAAAGTCCCGTCAAAATCAGTCCAGCCGTTTCAGCGATTATCCGGAACAACCAGACAGACAGATAGACAAAAAATTTAAAGTTGTGTTTTTCTTATAAGTACCATATATAATTTCATATGCATTACTAAAACGCTGTTATTTTGACATTACAAACAGACACTTCAATTTTATTTATCTGTAGGTATATATGCACAGATGTTCGAAACTCCAGGGGCTACTAGCACAAAGGGAGGAGAGGGTTTATAAGGCTCTCCGGAACTACCTCTCGTAAAACAAAAAGCAACAGTATTGCAACCTTTTACTACCTATTCTATACTATCATGCTTAGGAATGGCTTATCTAAAGCAAAACTATACATAGTTTAGATAACTTACATTTTAAAGCTAATTGCAATAACTAGTTGAAAATATTTAGTGTTTTATTTGCCGCTAAGCTAATAAAACATTAAAACCATATATAAATAAATATATATACATTTTAAATACCACTTAATGAATATGATAGAATTATTAATTATTAAATTTAATGTTTAAGTAAAATCAATTTTCGTCATAATCTTTATTAAGATTCGAAACAATACGTAAGTATCGATATATCTTATACCTTAAGTTAACGATAAAGAAAGAATAACTACACAGTTCTACTTTTACGTGAAAACATTTTAAAAAGATGTTAATATTTAATTTATCTACTTCAGCTGAACCAACACCATGAAGTATGTAACAACAGCTCCTAAGACCTGAAATGAGACAAATCGATTAACAAATGTAAAAAAAAGCATTCCCTCTTGAGTATTATTAAAGAAAATTATATTTCAAAACCTTTAAAGGAAAGAAAAATATTGGAAATAAAGCCATTGTTAAAATAATTACATAACAAAATAATAAGTCACAAAACAATCCATCTCTGGCATTCATTTGTAATCGATGGAAGCCCCGTTGTTTCTTTAGGAGTTCAGTCATAAATCTTATTTTTGTGCCAGAGGACAAAATAAATTTTGGTAAAATACTCGTACGAGTACGAACACGTCTCCATTATAGATTTTAATAGAAAAAAGAAACCAGCTGTCGAATTAATAAGACCTGAATAATTATTATGCAGTAACAAGTTTTATGCACGTTTGAATATTTTGATCTGATATAAGTTAAAGAAAAAAATATTATGGTCACAAAAATAATATAAAAACGGCATATTTTTTCTTTAATCTACATTATAAGTGCCTATTGCTTTAACTAAAGCATCTATATATTCAATTCAATTCTTTTATTTCATGGCATCTATATTCTATACTAAGTCAAATTTTAGAATGAACATTAGGTATGTACATTGGCATAGATAATAAAGATAAATTATTTTGACAATTAAAGAAAGTATATATAAAAAAAAAAAATAACTTTTTAAACAATTGACTTAATAAAGTTTCCAAACGTATATTAAAAAGTCTAATAAAAAAGTCAGTTGATTATAGATGAACAAAATAATCAATTAGTGGGTAAGCTATAAATAATTACGCTTCGAAATTTCCAACGTAACATATTTAATTAGTCATACAAATATATGAAATTTGTATGAAAATTTAATGTTGTTTCACATATCCTCCCATCCCCTCGGTATGAGGGAGATCAGGGCATAGTCCATCTCGGTGGCCAAGTGTGGGTAGTCTATAAAAAGTAAACTCCACACGTCTTTCAAAAACAAGTTAAATCTTCTCAGACTTGCACATGATGCTTAACCGTAATAGCAAATAATAATTACGTAGAAAATTATTAGCACAGGAAACCTCCTTCTCTTGGATATTTAAGTAAGCGTTACCAATAGGCTGCTTATGCTGTTTATTGGCCACTGGCTTTTGAACCCTTCTTGAAGAGCGAAGTCGTTTGCCAAGTTGGTTTATGTTGCGCACACGTTCAGATGAAACATATTTTGATTATCTAAATTTATATACAAAAGTAATTAAGGTAAAAAGAGGCTAACTTCGAAATTTGTAAAAACGGCTGACACAAACGTATATAGGACAGTATATGTTTATAGCTTATTACATTCAATTCCGAGGATAAATCCATATTTGACAGGGCTTCTACGACATATTTACTAGGTGTTAGGCATAATAAAGGTCCGCCAATCCGCACTTGGCCAGCGAGGTGACCACGGTCTGATCTCCCTCGTTTTGAAGGGAGGCCCGTGCCCAGCAGTAGGATGTTAAAAAGGGCTGAATACATAATAAAGATCATTGAAAAAACTAATTACTATAACTTAACATAATAATATAAATCGGATAACTTACAGAAGCAAACAAATCTAAAGAAACAGTGAAGAATTTAGCGCCAGAAATGCTCATAGCCTTCTGACATTGTTGACAAACGATCTGCACAAAAGTTTTCGCCTCCTCCGATCCATCGTACCATTTGCAGGAATACGCTGCTTCCATTACTGATGAACTCTGTTGTTTTTGTTAATTGTTACCGTTTACAATAATTATTTAGTAATAATTTTGTTTTTTTTTAATTTGATGGCGAAATTATATTTTTAGAAAATTAAAAATAACAAAATAACAAACCAGTTGTGCAAATAAGTCAGTTTTTAAAAAATAATTATATATGAAAAATGAAATCGATATTTTGTGTTGCCATCTCTTCGGTCAATGAAAATGTAAATAGTTAGGGAAAGCATTCATTTAGTAATTTCAATAGCATGTTAATCTAGTAAGATTGACCGTTATGAGCACAATTTTAATAGAAAAAATCGCTATGTTAATAATTATATTATAAATATATTAATTATTATGTATTATATTTATATCTTCCATTTAGAGAAGGATAAATATGGCTTTGGTACTGTCCTCCACACGCAAAATCAAGGTAAAGAAAAAAAGTTGTGTAATGAGTCAGTTTTGCAACTTATAAATTGTAATGTTTTACCTCCTCAATCAGCCTATTTCCAAAGATGCAGAAATGGAATACTTGAGCCAGAGTATAACTAAGGTAACCAATCGTACTAAATGCATACACGTTAAGTCCGTTGATCTAGAAAATATTCAATAATATTTTTAATATCTATACAAATAAATAAAATTGACGTGTCTATTTGTACTGTCAAAATAACAGCGTTTTACTAAATGCATATGAAAGTTTATAGTTCGATACTTACAAGAAAAAAACAATTTTTAAATTTTTTGTCTGTCTTATCGTGTTCTGGCTAATCTCCGAAACAGCTGGACTGATTTTGATGGGACTTTTAACTGGCAGATAACTGATGTTATAGGAAGTCTTAGACTTAGTCTAATTGTATTTTAGAAAAAGGATTAGGGCTCCGCGCAAAAAAATTAAAAGCCATGAAATTGTGAACAAAATCCGAGTACCTAGGGACCCCGAGCTAACCCAGATTAAGTTGCTAGTTCCATTATATAGTAGCATTATATAGTAGTTGAATATAAATCCAATTGACTATATTTAAATGTATATATTATTTATTACCTTGGTCGCTTGATAAGCTAATAATGTTAATGTGATGGTAGAAACCAACATGTGAAACAATAAAGCAGTTCCATACGTGTCTCCGATAGAAGATACTAATCTAAAAGTGACGTAGAAATTGGATTAAACTATTTTTTATCAGTTAGTTGGCTAATACACTTTTTAATTAATATTCAATAATAATTATATTAGTAAGGTTTTATTTAAAAAGTCAAAAATGAGTCTCAGATTCGATTCCTACGAAGGGCAATCTAATAAGTTTTTACATATTATATTTGTGTTGACTTTGTCTAATTTTTTTATAGCAATAATTTATGTATTTTAAACATTTTCTTTTAAGTTGTTAAAAATAAGTAGGTAAAATATAACACTGTGGTATTTACAATGAAAAAGCTTTAAAGAGTTAAGAAACTCTGATGAATGACTTGACAAAAGATCTCTTGTAGTTTTAAATTCTTATTACAAAACTTGGTTGTACCGCGAAAGTTTTTATGCTAAAGTTATTTTTCTATGAATATTTATAAACAAAAAATGGTGGCGTACTATATACTGAAAATAAAAGGTTAATATTATGGTCGCTAGTCACATAAAGGCATAAGACTTCACAGGTTCGATTCCCAAATGAAGAAAATATATAAATCATTCAAAGTTTCATTTGCAAATTGTAATATTGAGCACACAATACATAATATCAATGTTGATAGAAAGAAGGAATTGAAGAAATAAATCAAGTTGTTTTCGTTTTCGACCGTCGAAAAATATAAAAGGAAAATATACTATATTATTTTTTATGAACATCCTGTAGTACAATCATAATATGATAAATACAATTCTCTCTCCAATCTAATCTCTACATATTCATTTCCATTCACAAACCATTTACTTTCTACCCCATTAAATTTCATCGTATACAAAAAAATATTTTAAACAATAAAAACGAAAATTGTTAAAAATATCATCATTGAAAAGATAAATGGAAATTAGTTTCTAAGAAAAAAATCCATAAATAAAACAAGCATTCCATCAGTCGAATCTGATTTTTTTCACCTTACGATATGTTTATGTCTTTCCACCCAATACTTGATAGCTGACCGTGCTAGCATTTCTTGTTTTTGAGACAAACCATTTGGATTATTATTTTGCTGCCCAAAAGTCTGTAATCTTCCTCCAGCACCACGTAGCGTCATACCGAAATCTTGCTGAGTGGAGTAAATCCCTCGTATGTCCATATCAATTGGATCGGGGACTTTCTCGGAATTTTCTGTTAAACGTTAAAATTTTAGCCACATAATATTCCTCTTACTCAAAATAATACTTAAACAGTTTAAATAAAACTATCTTTTCGGATTTTTTCGCGGATTTATTTTGATTTTTGGTTCCGACGTTTTGAAGGTTTTACAGTTTAAAGCAATCATGGCCACATGGTTTTATATGTCTCAAAAGCGTTATATACTCGTAGTTGTTACAGACAGCCTACCAACAAAACAACAAAATTTATTGAAAAAAATAAAAAATGGCACCATGGTACGTACCTCCCAATATTTGTTAATTTTCATTTTAAACATTTTTATAATTTTAATAAGTTTTATAATTGAATATGGAATAATATTTATTTAATTTTAACTGTTATTTTTATATAGAAAACTTTATTAATTAGTAATCTCTATTTTTAGTATTGTGAACAAAAAATCAAAATAAATCCGCGAAAAAATCCGAAGAGATAGTTTTGTTTAAAATTTTAAATATTTACTTTAACACCTAAAAAAATACTTCACGGCCACTCTTAAACTACTCACCCGTTGAAGGAACCTTAAATAGTTCTGCAGTATTAGGCCTATAGGTATCTAATGAAGCACTAAGCTCCATCAAGGGTTTCATAATAGCTTTTAAATGCTGCAGTTGTTCACAAGCAAAGATCAACCAGGAGCAAAACATAACATCCAAGAGGTTTGCAATAGCCATGGAGAAAAGAAGCCAATAGATCTGTTCAGAAAAAAAACGTATGTGTGTACTTATGTACGCACGTAAGAAATTAGACTTCTTTGGCGTAACGGAACAAAAATAGCTAAAGATTTCATCCCGTATGTCACAACTTGTTTGTCTGTGCTGTCGGTGTGCGCGCGCGTCATAAAAATATTACTCTCATAATTTTTTCCAAACTTGCCAAACGAAGAATAACTTCAAAAAGGACTAATAAGCTTAATTAAGAACATAACCATTACTTTAAAACCCATTATATAAATAAGCTTAAATTTTCATAAACATTCGAACAGAATTATATTTTTTTAATTAAAATCAACTGTTTTATCAAGATACTTGCCTGAAAAACAAATGCCACTATATACATAGTGCCACTCATAGCGTCAAAAGGATACCAGGCTTTAAGTGGTAGTCTTGGCACTGGTTCGGTAAGCGTTTCATTAGTCTCTTTGTCTACCAAAAAACGGACGGACTCTCCAAAGAAAGTTATTGTGACCCAACCTAAAATATCGAGTATAAGCTTTATTATCAATTTTGTAGAAAATTCTTGAAAATTGCATATTATAGAAATTATTATAGAAATTGCATAAAACTCTATTTCTGACGCAAAAAAATATTATTACCATCTAAACATAATAATATAATAAACGCTATTTGTACTAGCGATCAGCTAGCGCTTTACTTAAGCTTCTGATTTATTCTTCTGCCTTATACAATATAGATTTTTTCTACTGGAATTACTTCATTAACCAAATATAACTTTTATTACAATTAATAAACCTCTAATTTATAATATATAATATCTTTTATAAAATATAGCTATGTCCTTATGGATTTCAACAAAAAATCAATTTTATACGTCATCGTTGAATCTATGAAACTAGTCTTGATCCATATATTATATATTATTATGTAAGTTAGTATACTGAGAATTAACTCACAAGTAACGGAGAATAGGATCATGCCACAAATAAAATAAAGCAGTCTCCTCATCTTAGTTAGCGCAAGTTGGTGATATCTGGCATCAGATTCGGTGAACAGAGGATGACTGTTCGACTGATTCCATATTGCCAAAGTTCTATATAAGATAGAGATTAAAAATGTAAAAATAAAAGAGAAAAAAAATTTTAATGCCGTAATAACTTTTTAAATAAAACTATCTTTTCGGAATTTTTCGCGGATTTATTTTGATTATTTAGGTCCCGACATTTCTTTGCCTGTGTTTCTTTACAGTTTACAGCAATCATGGTCACGGGAAAGACAACCCATGTGTCGGGAGTGAACAGATAGTTTTATTTAAATGTCAGATATTTACGTAGATCTAAAACAGTATTATTCAGTAACTAGCATTGCCCGCGGCTCCGCCCGCGTTCAGATGACCAAAAACCAAATTCTTAGGTTTTACATATTAGTATATCTCTTACATTGCAGTTTTTGTATTTTTTGTCAGAAATGAGACATTTTCCCACGGTAAATAGTATCCTCTATGTTGACCCGGATAACCAGCTATCACTATACCAAATTTCATCAAAATCCCTCTAGTGCTTTTTCTGTGATGCGGTAACAGACAGACAGACAAAAATTCTAAAAACTATAGATTCGGCCTCTGTATCGATAATAATGTTTATTACAATAAGATTATCCAAAAAATATTTAATGCACAGATTCGGCTTTGTTACAATTTTATTATATGTATGAATATCTATAAATACTCTTATATTTTTTTATTTATTGCTGGAATAATTTTAGAAATTAAATAACTGAAATTAGAAATAGCCGTACCATTTAACATTTACAAAACATGCGATCAGATTTTTTTTTTGTTATTTTTATTATTTGATTTGTTATTCATACATATATGTATATGAATGCAATAATTGTTAACTACCTTGATTATAAAATATCTATATAAAAAATTATACACGAACATCGTATACATGAAACCTTATATTTATTATTCCTATACTGTTTCCATCTTATATGAAATCATGCTTCTTGCCAAATCACATGATACAATAGAGTGAATACACTTACATTTGTGTATATCAGGGAGTTTGAAATAGTTGATATAAGTTATATAAGTGATCATATCATTTCAATACATAATATGTGGCATTTAATATTCAATTTAATATCTTTCTACACTATATCTCTATCCGTTCCTAAGGTAAAGGATCTTAAAGAGACAGGCGGATTGACAGATAATATAGTAAACAAATTGTTTGATATCGTATAAGTCACTAGCAACTCACCCCACCCAGCTTCAAGCAACTTCAGCAAACAAATTCCCACAAACTTACAAACTTTCATGCCCGTTTTCAACCTCTTAAGGGATGATTTCCGGGATAAAAACTCCTATGTCCTCGTATCCTATGCCCCTCCGAGGGTATCAAACTATCTACTTGCCAAATTTCATCTATATCGGTTCAGTAGTTTCGGAGCTTATTCGGTACAAACAAACAAACAAGAAAATATTTCCTCTTTATAGTATTATATTGATTAGTATGAATAAACGTTTCATTTTTATCGATAAATGTACGTAACTAAAAAACATGAAATTACATGTTTATCTTTTAAACGTCGATTCCATTATGTGCAATATTCGATGTTTTGTTAAAAACTCAATTATGAGAGGCTTTACTCAAAATGAAATTCATTAACAAAGCTTTACTGGGAAAGCTCACTGTAATATAATGAAGCTGATATATAGTGCAGTGATATACGATACGGAGCTTTCAAACTTTTCATTGAAACATTAATAACTTTACCTCGAATTAGATTAAAATAAAACAGATTAGTTTTCCCTAAAAATATATTTCATATTCATAGATTTTAAATCAGTTATTTCTCTTTTTTATGGCAACTTTTATCAATTTTATATTTTGACTAGTGATTTACCCTTGCCTCGTTCGAATGCGTCCCTAGAAGCCTAGAAGCATTTACACTATTGTACGTAGCCTGACTGATATTTCCATATGCGAATGATTTTTAACATGATTACCACTTGCCTTACGGTGAAGAAAAACATTGTGAGGAAATATAATAATATACATGCATGACTGTGAAGACCTAGCAAGGTTGTGGAAAGACATGTGGAAGTCCACCAACCCGCACTTGGCCAGCGTGGTGGACTATGGCCTGATCCCTTTCGTATTGAAGGGAGGCCCGTGCCCAGCAGTGGGACGTTAAAAAAGGCTGAATACATTCAATTTTTCAAAATCACATTGTTAAAAATCACCCTTGAAAAATTGAATACGTAATTATAATTATGTACAATCGCACCACACGATCGTATTATTATAGCAGATAAAAAGAATTGAAAGTGTTCTATATAAAAATATTTCATATTTACAAGGTTTTATATTCGCCGGGAAAAGTGAAATTGCGTGAAAATGAATTCAGTTCGAAAACTCAGTTACTTAGCAGCTAATTATTCGCTCTTTGTTAAATTTTGAAACGCTGCTTTCATTTTTTCCTTTTCATGCTGGAATATTGAAAAGAAAATATACAGTAGCGTTGAATGTACTGAGATTTTCCTGCAAATATTTTTTGCTAAGCAATTTTGTAAATTAAGTAATAAGAGAAGGGATTGGGATTTTTATAGTTTAAGGGTCTATTTAATATATTAGTGAACTTAAGTAAGCGTAAGATAGTTTGAGACCCTGGGAAGGACAAAGAGTACTTTTTTTCTCGAAAATCATCCCTTAAGGGAAATATTAAAATAATTTTATAATTTATTACAAAACTAGCGATTCACCCTCGCTCCGCTCGGGTTGGTCTCTAGGAAAGTTTTACGGGTAAATATAAATTTCTCAGAGGCGAGACATTTTCCCGCAGTAAAAAGTATCCTATATTATGACTCGGATAAGCAGATATCATACAAAATTTCATCAAAATCTATCCAGTGGTTTCCTCGTGATGCATTCCCAGACAGTCAGACAGACAAAAATTCTAAAAAATATAGATTCGTCATCTGCATCGATAATAATGACTATTTCAATAAGACTTTCCAAAAAATATTTAAAGTACAGATTCGACTCAGTCAGAATTTTATTATATGTACATGCAAAAAAAATATGGGAGCAACTGAGTGCCCAAGACAAGCATTTCAATGACGGAATTCTTATCTAATAATACGACACTAATCAGTGACTCGACAAACTACTATACACTTTCGTACAATGTACACTTTTACACTACTTTGCACCACCAATAAATTCTCTAATTACAAGAGCTTTCACGTGGACGTTTAAACAAAACATAATTAATGAAGCCCAGACCATTACTGAGAGCAATCTAAACAACAGCTTAATGAAGGCGTAGCAATTCAATTTATACGAGTACGTTTAATCACTGGTGCATTATGTTGAAAAATATTTGTGAGCAGAGCTACTAACGAATACTAACAAAATTAAAAAAAACCGACTACGTAAAAAGTGAACTTAAAAGAGGAGAACAATTTGACGAAGGAACATACTCCTAGTATTATGCAGTCGGAGACCGACATACATAGCTATAATTCGAATACCTTAGATATATCAAACGAATCAACGACATCAAAATCGGTTAAGCCGTTCAGTAATTACGAGGGAACATATCGGACATACATACAGGTCAAACACATAACCCTCCTTTGGGCTTCGCCGCAGTCGGGTTAAACATGGACAGCTAAATATGTTTTGATTTTATCGTAACTAGTGTCCTACTAACATCACCTTCACCCAGAGCTAGGCTAACTGAAGTTAAAACTTCGGCCAATACTAAATTTCATAGCCTACCTAAATAAATACCTAAATATCTTTGGGGTCTAGTAGCTAGCATGTAGCCACAGATCCGATGGGTTCGAGTATAGTTTTGGGTTTTTCTCAAGGGTCAAAAAATTTTCAACAACAGCTCCATTGGGAAGTTAGCGGTATTTCATTCCCATGTCTCCGAGAGCACGAATAGTCATTGGCCCTGCGGCTGTTTTCCCACCGTCCACC